TATAGTAATCGTTAATTCCGCAAAACATGGACTTTGCCATTATAACTATATGGAGGCGGGGGGTATCATTTAGTGAGCTCATCGCTCACAGTACTTCTAGTTTTTGAGAGAGCTCAGATTTTTTTGTAGCCAGAGTTTCTTGTCTTCTGCTCAACATTTGTGAACTGCTTCCCTTTTTCCTACAAGAAGAAAGATTTTCTAAAAATGCCCATGAATGTAAAAACTTAGGACATTTTTTTCTGCATTTTAGTTTCTGAGTTAATATTGCATCATTGGGACTTCCAAATTAAAGCATTCTGAGGTGGAATTTAAGCCTATATAAAATATTCCTTGGCCGCCGTGTTGTACGAGGGGTGACCAAAAAGTTCACGAACTAATTGAATAACTTCCAACTTAAAAGAAACAATATTTGGTTTCAGTGTTGATTATATTTTAAATTAATCCTCTCCAATTTTAATGCACATCTGCCAACATTCTGCTCATGCGCGAATCACGTGATATAGGTGGTCACGTGATCCCCTTCGAAGCATTCTGTCACAAAAGCTGAAAGATTTTTCTGAGTTTTATGTTTCTTTCCATGCAAGTTAATTTTTATAAAAAGAACTTTTCATATGTCAGAAATGGTCAAATCTCAGCAACAGAATGGGTGGATAAGAATTTCCTTTCCAAAAATAAGCATGGCGACCATCAAAACCCAAATCTTCTGTCTTGGGCATATGTTGGGAGAGACGTTTACTCAAGATGGATAGAGAATGGATGCCTCCTTTTTATCATATCTAATATGTTTAAAATCTTAAATAAATGATATCTTAGGTATTTAAAGGGTTTTTATCATACATCATGATTTTTTGATATAACAAGGTTTATATGCTATTTAAATCATCCATAAAATTTTTTTAGTTAGAAAATTAATATTTTGGGTGTTTCAGCGATTCAAAGTTTAAATTTCTTTATATGCATATTTTGATCACTGATGTTGCGTGCCATTGCTCTGACGTCATAGGTGTCAGTCCTGGTCAAGCGAAGTACTTATTGTGTTTACAAAATGGCTCAATGGCTTCGTCTTAAAACCTTACTAGAAATTAAATAATTAATAATTGGTTAATTGATAGATAATTATAGATATAATTTGTGGTGTTTGGATGAAAAATCAGCACAGGAAAGGTTTTAGGAAGTTTTTTTTTACCTTCCAGGGACTTCGTCGGTGCGTGGATTTGTCTCCATTCAGAGTATTCGTTAATGTACGATCACACATTTTTCTGTATTATATAAAATATCTATTTAATGGAAATAGTATTTTTCAAAAAAATAATAAATTGTCAATAGGAATTTTAAAAGTCCGGCACACACATCATGCACTATGTGTTGTGAAGTTCGTAATGGCGCACGGCACAATTGAAGATCGAAGTAGCGCCTTTCTATCAAATGATGTTCATTGCTGGAACAGACAGAAGATACACAAGATCTGTTTATGTATAATTTATTAAAAAAAAAAACGAAGAAAGAAAATGTACAACGACCATTTTTATAATTATTTAAGATGTCAAATGTTAATAATTCGATCTATTTAGTCAAAGCCAGGAGTTGTCATTAATGGCTTCGTCTTCAATGCCCTATCCTCCTTTCACGGTACGTTTTTTGTTTATTTTTCTGTTGTAGAAGTTAATTCATATAAGATTGAGCATCCATAGCCAAAGTTATATTGTCATTATCAAAATTTCTTCAAACCTAGTGGTGTATTCTTTTTATTTCATGCAAATATTTATACTGTAGATGTTTTCTTACGATACGCTTTACGAGGTCTAATTGCCCATTGACACCTATGACGTTTCAGTACCACGTGACCCCTATCTAATTAGTGGAGATTTTCAATCTGAAGATCCTACATTACGGACGTATTATGGCTTAAATATGACAGTTTAAAACATTATTTTATAATTAAACGATAATTATATGTTCCAAGAATATAATAGTGTTTAATTTTTAAGAAATTTTGATGCGTGATAAAACCCCTTTAATAATCATATTATTGTCTTAATATTCAACTGTTTTTCAAAGTGTAAATTAAAGGTCTTCGATAGCTAATTGCTTAATTAAAAACCATTTTTTTTCAAACTTGCTTTTACTGGGCAACAAAACAAGTATCATTTTTAACCATCTGCCTTCCTTCACAAAAACGACCAATCCAATCATTGATTGAATTTATAGCAAGTCATTTTTCTTAATAAACTGTTTACAAATTATTATACACTACTTCAAGGGGTTTTCTAAGATATACCATAAATTCTACAGTCGTTTGTTGAACGAGTATGAGTGAGACAACCATTTTTCATCACAAGTGACCTACATAGTGACGTCATTTTCGCATTGTGACGTCACAATCAAGGAGCAAAACTTAATTCAGCATATGCTATTTATAGATGTATGAGTATGTGTGTACGAAATTTTTTTCTAATCTGAAATGTGGTTTTGTAGATATAGAGATAGTTCGCAAACTTTTTGATCACCCCTCGTAGATCAATCAGGCCTATGAAATTTATGAGCCTCAGTTTATAACTCATGTATGTTACTATGGTTGGATTCCAGCCTTTCCCCCGGGGGTCATAATTTGAAAAATTTAGAATCTACACTACCCCAGAATGCTTCCACATCAGTTTCAGCTTTTCTGGCCCAGTGGTTCTTGAGAAGATGATTTTCAAAGGTTTTTAGCTCACCTGAGCTGAAAGCTCAAGTAAGCTTTTCTGATCACATTTTGTCCGTCGTCCGTCTGTCTGTCTAGCTGTCTGTCCGTCTGTAAACTTTTCACATTTTCGCCTTTTTCTCAAGAACCGCTAGGCTAATTTCAACCAAACTTGCCACAAAGCATCCTTGGGTGAAGGGGATTCAAATTTGTTCAAATGAAGGGCCATGCCCTCATTCAAGGGGAGATAATTGGGAATTAATGAAAATTTGGTGATATGTTTTAAAAATCTTCTTCTAAAGAACCACTGTGCCAGGAAAGATGAAACTTATGGGGAAACATCCTCAGGTGGGCAGATTCAAATTTGTTCAAACCATGACCCCCCGGGGGTTGGGTGGGGCCACAATGGCCGACCAAAGTTTTACATAGAAATATATAGTAAAATTCTTTAAAAATCTTCTGAAGAAGAATAACAAAGCCATAATTGATCATATTTACATGGAATCATCCTCAGGTAGTTTAGATTCAAGTTTGTTCAAATCATGACCCCCGGGGGTAAGGTTGGGCCACAATGGCGGACCAAAGTTTTACATAGAAATATATAGTAAAATTCTTTAAAAATCTTCTTCTCAAGAATAACAAAGCCATAATTGATCATATTTATATGGAAAAATCCTCAGGTAGTGTAGATTCAAGTTTGTTCAAGTCATGACCCTCGGGGGTAGGGCGGGGCCGCAATGGCGTACCAAAGTTTTGCATAGACATATATAGGAAAAATTTTTAAAAATCTTCTTCTCAAGAATAACAAAGCCATAATTGATCATATTTATATGGAAACATGCTCAGGTAGTGTAGATTCAAGTTTGTTCAAATCATGACCCCCCGGGGTAGGGTGGGGCCAAAATGGCGGACCAAAGTTTTACATAGTAATATATAGGAAAATTCTTTAAAAATCTTCTTCTCAAGAATGACAAAGCCATAATTCATCATATTTATATGGAAGCATGTTCAGGTAGTGTAGATTCAAGTTTGTTCAAATCATGACCCCCCGGGTAGGGCGGGGCCAAAACGGCAGACCAAAGTTTTACATAGAAATAAATAGGAAAATTCTTTAAAAATCTTCTTCTCAAGAATGACAAAGCCATAATTCATCATATATATATGGAAGCATGCTCAGGTATTGTAGTTTCAAGTTTGTTCAAATCATGACCCCCCGTGGTAGGGCGGGGCCAAAATGGCCAACCAAAGTTTTACATATAATAGGAAAATTCTTTAAAAATATTCTTCTCAAGAATGACAAAGCCATAATTCATCATATTTATATGGAAGCATGCTCAGGTATTGTAGATTCAAGTTTGTTCAAATCATGACCCCCGGGGCTAGGGCGGGGCCAAAATGGCCGACCAAAGTTTTACATAGAAATATATAGGAAAATTCTTTAAACATCTTCTTCTCAAGAATGTCAAAGCCATAATTCATCATATTTATATGGAAGCATGCTCAAGTAGTGTAGATTCAAATTTGTTCAAATCATGTCAGACCCCCAGGGGTTGGGCGGGCCAAAATGGTCGACCAAAGTTTTTAAAGATATATATAGGAAAATTCTTTAAAAATCATTTTCTAAAAAATAGCAAATCCATGATTGGTCATGGGACTACTTTTGGATTTAAACTTTACAATAAAAAGCCATTTTCTACTTTTTCCTACCCTTAGTGCTCAGGTGAGCGATGTGGCCCATGGGCCTCTTGTCTTGATTATCTCCCCTTGTGAGAGGACTTGGCCCTTTATTTTAACAATTTAAATTCCCCTTTACCCAAGGATGCTTTGTACCAAGTTTGGTCAAAATTGGCCCAGTGGTTCTTGAGAAGAAGTCGAAAATGTGAAAAGTTTACAGACGGACAGACAGACGGACAGACAGACGGACAGACAGCTGGACGGACGGACGGACGACGGACAAAATGTATTTATTTATATTTAATATATAATATTTATTGCTAATTGAATGAATCTAAAAATTTGCAGATATTAAAAATATTCTGAAACAACATTGACAAGATATTCTAATTTTTGTCTCCTTGACCTCATAAACATTATATTACAGCATAAAGATTTTGACTTAAGATTAAGACCTTTCATGATCCTGGGGCCAGAAAAGCTCACTTGAGCCTTCGGCTCAGGTGAGCTAAAAAATATGAATTATCTTTTTAGGACTTACCTATAAGTGTGACATAGATTTACAACCCCAAATCTGATTTATCAGTGAGTACACATGGTGATTTTTGGTGAAATTCCTTTCAATACATTTGGTATTATTTTTTAGGTTCCAGTTGCAAGGAAAGTGATTGAACAAGGAATGTTTGTCAAGCACTGTAAAGTAGAAGTTTATCTTTTGGATTTGAAACTTTGTGAAAATTCAAATATAGCAGACAGTTATTCCATGAGTTTCAGTAGATGTGACACTGTAGGTATGTATAACAGGCATTTATCTTGAGATCTATTGGTTATTGTTCATTACTATAGCTGTCTGATATGCATTGATCATGACTGCTAAGACTAATATAAAAGAAGATAATGCATAGGTAAACTTAATTTTTAGCTCTACTGGTTAGAGACCAGAAGAGCTTATGCAATAGTAATGCGTCCGGCGTCCGGCCGTCTGTCTGTCTGTCTGTCTAGCTGTCTGTCTGTCTGTCTGTCTGTAAACAATTTTTCAAAATGCTACTTCTCCTACAGTTTTGGTCTGATTTCAATATAACTTGGCACACAAGTAGACTACACTAAAATAAATAATTCTGATTATCGATTTTTGATTTCGATGAATGATGTTGCCATGGTTACTAAAAAAAGAAATTTCTGTGAAATACTTTTAAAATGCTACTTCTCCGACAGTTTTGGTCTGATTTCAACATAACTTGGCATACAAGTAGACTACACTAAGATACATAATTCTATATATCAATTTTTGATTTCAATGAACGATGTTGCCATGGTTACTAAAATTGAAAATACTCTAAAAGTTTATTAACAGCTACTCTTACAGCTGTAGTCTTATCGCAATATCTTGCCACAAAAAGAGCTTAATCAAGCATCAGTATTCTATTTAATGCTGTTGTAAAGTTTCAATTCCCAACAGCTACTTTTGTCTTCATTTGTTATATATACAAACCAAAAATAAAATATTTACACACTGCTATTAAACTTTGAGTTTGGAAAACTGAGGACATACAACTGTTCTGCAATTACAAATTGATGAGAGTTATCCCCCCTTTTAAAGACATGTTGAAACATGGGGGATGAAAAACAGATTACAACTTACAAAAGTTATCCCCCTTTAGTTACAATTCACTGAGGGGATGAAATGCAAAATAACATTTTCTTAAAGTTATCCCCCTTTTGTAAATAATAAATACAAAACCTCTTGGGGATGAGATTAAAAAAAAAATTACAAAAACTTGTAACTAGAGGAGGAATTCCTGCCTTAATTTAAGGTAGATTGCGGGTTTACTGTCTACCTGAAAACATACTCTGAAAATTTGTCAACAAAATCCTCTTGTTTCAAATATTTTCCTCCCGAATTTTTTTAAAATTCATATGCGTGGTTATATTGTAATTGTATTTCAAATGCTCTAATGTTGATGAGAACAGGTAACACTATTTCAATGAAATATATTGTAAAATCATGCAGTTTACACTAGTATTCACATTTCATAACCATGCTAGTAAAATTAAAATGAAGCAGGCGAGTTTAATATTACTCAACACAATGAATGTGTAGTACATGTATAAAATTTAGATGATCTATTTACAAAAAAAAAACCGTGTTCTAACTCATTTTCTTGCAAATATTTTTAAAAATATGCAATTTTCCAACAAGTGTAGGAGAAAATTGTTTATATATATATATCGTTAGTGCTACATCATATTTAATATTTCGTTTGTCTGTGCGGCCAAAATAAAATAAAAAATTATCAACAATTCACTTAAGGTGTTTCCACCCTCACAATTTTATAGGTTCAAAGTACAAAAAATGCATTTATTTTCATTAAATATACTCTAAATTTTCCAATTATTGCAAAAAATGTATAGGTTACCATATTATTTAAGATGCGAAACATAATTAAACAGAAGTGTATTTTAACATTAAAAAACGCACTTTTTTGTAAACAGTATTATGAAAATTATGTAAAAACTGGTTAAAGTGCATAATTCTGATGCTGAATTGTTCTTCAATACTTCCTACTTAAAAGATACTTTTGAATTGTGAATATCAGAGTAACTAGTTTACAATAAAGCAAAATCCTGAATGAAGAGATCTTAGACGGAGTTATTGCCCTTGTCAACATTTTTTTAAAGATTGAATAATTGATTAAATATAGAAAATATGCATTTTTTAAATTCTTTAACTTAACAATATTTATTATTACATCTATTGTAAAGCTTTCTTCCGAGAGATATTGTTCTATTAGGTATGAATTTAAACTACTTACAGTTTTTGCAAACACCTATGACATCATAGGAGGGTGGAATTACCTTAAAATAAAGCATGAAATCGACTAATTCAAATTTTTATTGTCAATGTTCATGTAAACATTGTCATACCGTATAAGCAGAATTTTTTGCAAGGATTTAATTATGGCATTATTAGCGAGGGTGCCAAGATCGCTAAAATTGAATATCGCTAAAAATTAATTTCGCTTTACAGTAAAACTCGTTTAGAACGAACACAGATATTGCAAACATTGTCATCTTGGATCCCCAGCTTCTATAAATTTAATAATAAATTTCTTAAATAGTTATATCGAATTACGAATATAGGGAAGTAATTTCATAGGTCCCAGTGACTTTGTTATAACGAGTTTTGCTGTATTTATGATAGATTCTTTAATGAGCTTTTTAAAATCGCTAAAATTACATCTTGCTAAAAATAAACAGACTTGTTTCAGATGCTGGATATGACCTTCATTTTACAGTTGAGTGATGAGGTTAAAGTTTTCAGAGCAGGTCCATTCCCAAGTAACTATAAGCCCTACCTGGACCAAACTTGCATAGATATTGCATCTAGGGATGGACACTACCAGACTTGTTTCGGATGCTGGATCTGACCTACATTATTCAGATGAATGAACAGGTTGAAGTTTTTGGAGCAGGTCCATTCCCAAGGAAATATAAGCCCTACCTGGACCAAACTTGCATAAAGGATGTATCTAGGGATGGGCATAACAGACTTGCTTCAGGTGCTGAATCTGACCTACATTATTCAGATGAGTAACCAAGCTCATGTTTTTGGAGTATCTAGAAATATTGTAACCGGGATGCAAATTATAACTATAAAGAAAATATAATGTAAGATTTGCATTATTTAAACTGATAACATTTGTTGAGGAGAGCTTTGTAATCTTTAATTAGGGCCCCGCAAGGATTTGCGGGTGCCGTATAGTAATCACTCTGTCCGTCCGTCTGTCTGTCTAGCTGTCCGTCTGTCACTCTTCCGTCCACAAATTTTCTGTTTTTTTCTAATAACTTTTTTTGTGGTTGCCCAATCAAGTTCAAATTTGGTATGGTAGTTCAGTAGGCAGAAATACATATTTTGATGCTAAGTTTGGTTCTCTATGTCTTCTGGTTTGGAGCTGGGGTGGTGGGGTAGATTCCTTAACTATGCATAAGAATGAATGGGCAACTTTTTTTATGGTTGCGCAATCAAGTTCAAATTTGGTATGGTAGTTCAGTAGGCAGAAATACATATTTTGATGCTAAGTTTGGTTCTCTATGTCCCCTGGTTTGGAGCTGGGGTGGTGGGGTAGATTCCTTAACTTTATATACGAAAGCATTGGCAAAGAGAGATAACTGCTGAAGATGTTCCCATTGTAAACTGAATGTTGCTATAAGTTCCTTGGGATTAATTAGCTTTCCTCCTGAAGAAAATCCAGAGCATTATCTTAATCTGTCAAATTGAGATGAATTACCACCTCTGTCTGCAAATGAAGTTTGTTTTGAAGTTAAGTCAATTTGGAATGCTATGAACACTCTGAAATGTGGATTTAAATATAAATTTTTATAATTTATTTTTGTTTAATAGTTATGATTTCATTGAATTCTAATAACAAGAAATAGATTAAAGAAGATTTTTTGATTTACTTTTTTCACTTTATGATAATTCAAGAATATTATTAATTTTTAGGATAGTTGTATAAAAACCCCATTCTATCATTAATACTGAAAAAGTTCTTATTGTAACATAAGAAGAAAATGATGAGAGAGGTACAATTAATCCCTTGGGATTAATTATCTAGCCTGCTGCAGAAAATTTAGTAGGCTTTTCTTTATCTGTCACTTTAAGATTAATGAAAACCTTTGTCTGCAACTGCTGTTTGTTTGAAGTTAAGGTCAAGCCTTCATGATATTTGCATTCATTGAAGGCTGGCATTTTATATACTGTAAATCGTTTTAATTCCACGGTGTTAAAATTTCACGATCTTTCAAAAAGTTCCAATTGCGATGGTTTTAAATTCACGTCGCTAAAAATTAATTCAAATTTTCGTATAAGCATTTAAACGTTTGTAAAACTAATAATAGCATTCACGATGGGTTTAATTTCGCGGAAAAAAGATAAATCGCGAACATAGCGAAATTAAAACCATCGTGATTATTTGCCAATCTACAGTAACACAAGCTTCATAATTGTTTAAATATACATTCAGTGTTAAGTTGTTCTTTACTGCCTAATGTAAATACAAGGATATTATTTTCAGGTTTTTGAATATTCAGGAATTATCTTGAAATTTTAAGAATACAGTTGCTGTTGCTGATTCTTCGTACATTTTTTAATCATTCCATAAGCTGCACCCTATTAATTCTACCCCATGGCGGGGCCCTTGCTGACTGGTCAGTTTTCTAGTTACCTATGTTTTCTTTTTACAGGTGATGTTGAAAAGGTGATTAGAAAAAAATTCAACATATCAGAAAATAAAGAAGTTCGACTCTGGAACAAATATATGAGTAATACATATGAACACCTCAGTAAACAAGAACAGACTCTGCAGGAAGCTGGACTGTACGCTGGACAAGTTATTGTTGTAGAGCAAAAGAATGAGGATGGTTCATGGCCAAGACAGACCAAAAGGTTAACTATTCCCCATTTATTTGAATTGAACTAGGTTACAGTGAGTCCAATAATCTGAGAATTTTTAGCTCACTTGAGCTCAAGTGAGCTTTTCTGATCACATTTTTTCTGGTGCCCATCTCTCTGTCTGTCCTTCTGTCTGTAAACTTTTCACATTTTCGACTTCTTCCCCAGAAACACAGGGCCAATTTCAACCAAACTTGCCACAAAGCATCCTTAGGTGAATGGGATTAAAGTATGTTCTAGTGAAGGGTCATGCCCTCTTTCAAGGAAAGGTAATTAAGAAATATGAAAATTTAGTGGCTGTTCACTTCTGTGACACACCAACAAAATCTAGCCTGGATGCGAGTGATTTAATCGAAATATTTACAAATCGGTGGCACTTAAAATTTAAATAGAAATATGAAAAGAAAGAGGAATATGTAACAATTTTATTGATGTATGCACATCCCATGTTTTATTCTTCTTTAGGTAAATGATCACGCGAAGTTTAAGAGAGGTGAGGCAAATGACGAAAAAAGAGAAAACTTGCAAGCCTTCTCTCTTTATATGTATCAGTGGAAAACGATATTTTTAAAAATGGCTTATAGAGACAAAAGGGTCACATAACAAATACCAAGTAGTGCATATTAGACTACCAAAATAGGACAAATGTGTGTCGAGCCCAGATTTAAAAAGAATAAAAATTGAAAATGGGGGTCGGGGGGTCAAGCCCCCAAGTGCCTGGTTGATGCATCTTGAATCCTCAGAGAATGTCAGCTTAAATGTAGGTCACAGTGACTTATTAGCTCACCTGAGCCGAAAGCTCAAGTGAGCTTTTCTGATCACATTTTGTCCGTTGTCCGTCCTTCCGTCCGTCTGTCTGTCTGTCTGTCTGTCTGTCCGTCTGTAAACTTTTCACATTTTTGACTTCTCCTCAAGAACCACTGGGCCAATTTTGACTAAACTTGGTACAAAGCATCCTTGGATGAAGGGTAATTTAAATTGTTAAAATGAAGGGCCAAGTCCCCTCATAAGGGGAGGTAATCAAGAAAAGACAAAAATAGGGTGGGGTCATTAAAAAATCTTCTTCTCAAGAACCACTGGGCCAGAAAAGCTGAAAATTATGTGGAAGCATTCTGGGATAGTGTGGATTCTAAATTATTCAAATCATGACCCCCGGGGGTAGGGCGGGGCCACAATGGGGAATCAAAGTTTTACATAGAAATATATCAGAAAAAATCTTTAAAAATCTTCTTCTCAAGAACCACTGGGCCAGAAAAGCTGAAACTTATGTGGAAGCATCCTGGGGTAGTGTAGGTTCTAAGTTGTTCAAATCATGACCCTCTGGGGTTGGACGGGGCCACGACAGGGAATCAAAGTTTTACAAAGAAAAATATAGGAAAAATCTATGAAAATCTTCTCAAGAAGCACTGGGCCAGAAAAGCTGAAACTTACGTTGAAGCATCTTGGGATAGTGTAGATTCTAAATTGTTCAAATCATGACCCCCGTGGGTTGGGCGGGGCCACAATGGGGATTCAAAGTTTTACATAGAAATATATAGGAAAAATCTTTAATCTTCTTCTCAAGAACCACTGGGCCAGAAAAGCTGAAACTTATGTGGAAGCAACCTGGGGTAGTGTAGATTCTAAATTGTTCTAATCATGACCCCCCGGGGTAGGACGGGGCCACAATTGGGAATCAAATTTTTACAATGGGGAATCAAAGCTTCCTATGGTAGTGTAAATTTCAAATTGTCTAAATTATGATCAGTGGGGTAGGGTGGGGTCACAATATGTATTACAAGGGGGAAATCTGGTAAAGAACGGAATGGTCAACGCTTCTCAGGTGAGCGAGGTGGCCCATGGGCCTCTTGTTTTTAAAATCTTGAGAAGAAGATTTTTAAAGAATTTCCCTATACATTTCTGTGTAAAACTTTGATCGGCCATTGTGGCCCCCTACCCCCCTGGGTCATGATTTGAACAAACTTGAATCTACACTACCTGAGGATGCTTCCATATAAATATGATCAATTTATCATTCATGCCTTTGTTATTCTTGAGAAGAAGATTTTTAAAGAATTTCCCTTTGTACTTCTATGTAAAACTTTGATCAGCCATTGTGGCCCTGCCCTACCCCAAGGGGTAATGATTTGAACATGATTTCTTCTGATATTCTTGACAACATCAAAGAATGCAAATATAAGTAATAAACAACAATTATTCAGTGAACATGGCATTATAAATAGCAAAAGCTCTGCTGGCATATTTTCCATGATGTGCTAGCACGCATCCTGGAATATACCAGCGGAGCAATTGCTATTCATCACGCCATGTTCACTGAATAAACTGATTTCTGCTTCCCTTTTTTAGCTACAATGTGCAGGTTAGCAATGTGGTATGGGCCTCTTGTTTAAGACTTATATACTATATACACTTGGCTAGAATCATCAAACTTTGTCAATTGATGCAACTTGGATCCTTGGAATATATATCAACCAACAAGTAGGTCACCATGACCTACTTTGAAATTTTATTGCTTTATTTGGGTATTCCAGTTTTAATTGGCCTAAAATCATCTAACTTTGTCAAATTATGTATCTTAATTGAATTGTGGGAATATTTCAACTGAAAGAGTAGGTCTTGAGTGAAAGCAACAGGTAGATCTTCCACTGGATCTGCAAATAGGACAAATTGCCCTCGAGTCAAGGTCATGCCACATTCTAAATAATCTTTTAAAGGTTATCATTCTGCAATGTTTCAGCAGTAGAAAGACCTTAAAGGAGTGTACAGTTCCTCTGATAGTGACCTTGAATTCGTACAATTGATACTCCGTCAAGCCATGTGACACACTCTGCAACTGGTTATAAGCAAGCCCCATCTGTATGTTACAGACTTGAAATCAACAAGCTCATAGAACCATTTACATTAATAGGTTCATATAACAAGCTGAAGCTGCTTTACAGTTTTTTTTAGCTCACCTGCATTTGTTGCCTTCATACCCAGTTAATAACTGTATAATATCTTCTCAAAAAATGCAAATCCGTAATTTGTCATTTTGATAAGGAAGGATCCTCAAGTAGTGTAGATTCAAGGTTGTTAAAATGATGACCCCTGGGATATGTTTTTAGCTCACCTGAGCCGAAGGCTCAAGTGAGCTTTTCTGATCAAAATTTGTCCGTCGTCTGTCGTTGTCGTTGTCGTCGTCGTTGTCGTCGTCGGCGTAAACTTTTCACATTTTCATCTTCTTCTCAAGAACCACTGGGTCAATTTCAACCAAACTTGGCACAAAGTATCCTTGGGTGAAGGGGATTCAAGTTTGTTCAAATGAAGGGCCACGCCCTTTTCCAAAGGGAGATAATCATAAATTTGTTAAAAATTAATGGCATTTTTAAAAAATCTTCTTCTCCAGAACCGCTGGGCCAGGAAAGATGAAACTCATATGGAAGCATCCTCAGGTAGTGTAGATTCAAGTTTGTTCAAATCATGACCCCCGGGGCAAGGGGGGGCCAAAATGGCCGACCCAAGTTTTACATAGGAATACATAGGAAAAATCTTTAAAAATCTTCTTCTCCAGAAACACTGGGCCAGGAAAGATGAAACTCATATGGAAGCATCCTCAGGTAGTGTAGATTCAAGTTTGTTCAATTCATGACCCCCAGGGCAAGGGTGGGGCCAAAATGGCCGACCCAAGTTTTACATAGGAATATATAGAAAAAATCATTAAAAATCCTTCTCAAGAACCACTGGGCCAGGAAAGATGAAACTCATGTCGAATCATCCTCAGGTAGTGCAGATTCAAGTTTGTTCAAATCACGACCCCTGGGGCTAGGGTGGGGCCAAAATGGCCGACCCAAGTTTTACATAGGGATATATATAGGGAAACCTTTTAAAATCTTCTTTTCAAGTACTTCAAAGCTATGATTAGTGATATATATATGGAATCATCCTCAGGTAGTGTAGATTTTAGTTTGTTCAAATGATGAACGCCTGGAGGGGGGGGGGGGGGAGTAAATTCAAGCCCGATGTGCTCAGGTGAGCGCTGTGGCCCCTGGGCCTCTTGTTCAAAATTTTCAAGAACCATATTGCTAATTTTAACAAGACTTGTTATGAAATACTGGTATCCTTGGGTGAAGGGAAGTTTTAATAGTTAAAATTTTTCCGCCTTATGAATATACAATTTTTTCAAAGAATAAAACATTCAAATGACTCGGAACAACATACATGTACATATGCGGTACGTTCCCGTCAGCTCACTTACGAATTATCATGAAATAATTCTTGAGGTTTACATACATCAACTTCAAATAAACTTTTTTTAAAAGGGGGAATGAAGTCAATAAACACATGCTGTATACGCACATGTACGATTATCAACACTGAGGTCAAGTCATGTAAGGTGGCTGATCAACGCACACCTGTCCGTTCAAACATAAGAAAATCAGTGAATCTTTCACAAGAAAACAGCAAAGTAATTTTCTTTTTTTATTTTTTACATGGCATGAACTTTTGCTGCCACGTGTAAGTGTAATTTTTCAGAGATTAAATGTAAATGATTTTGATGACCTGATTCTTTTTGATATGCGCGTCGTGAGTTTCTAAAAATTAAATATTTAAAGCAAATAAATATTTTAAACTTAATTGATTTGGAGTTAATTTCCGTGTTAATATGTCATTTACAATTCAATTAATTATACCAGTATAAACACAAAGGGATCTGAAAAACTTCAGTAAAACACGGGTCTTAAAAATTGACGTTTCTATAATTGGATGATTGACACATATCCGCTTGAGGACAATACCGTGTGGCACATGCCGTTATCTCTAACTAGGGGGAGAAAACCTAGTTTGAGGTAAGGACCTTTATGCAAGAAAAATTATTTTTCCAAGAATGAATTTATTATTTTGTGAATTCTTAAAACATCTTTGCATAATTTAGGGTGTGTACATATTTCAAGGATAGATATGCATAGAAAATGCATGTATATTTAACATGTAGGCCTATACCTACGTATCTAATACTGTATTACCTTTCTCATATCCTCATTTATTTAGTGCAGTTTCATTCCTAAATACACTTTAAGTACATTGTGATAAATTTCTGCAGAAAAAATGTGTCCACGTTCATAGCGTAAATTAATACCACACAGATAAAAGTACATCTACAGTATGTAGGAAAAATCATTAAAAATCTTCTTAAGATCATTGGGCCAGAAAAGTTGTAACCTATGTGAAAGCATCCTGGGATAGTTTAGATTCAAAATTATTCAAATCATGACCCATGGGGGATAGGGCAGAGCCACATTAAGGAATCCTCAGTTTTACATTGAAATATACTAGTACAGTAAAAACCATTTTAAAAAAAACTTCTCAAAATGCATTGGGCCAGAAAAGCTGAAACTTATGTGGAAGCATCCTGGGGTAGTTCAGATTCTAAATTTTCTCAATCATGACCCCTTGTTGTAGGATGAGGACACAGTAGGTATTACAGGAGGGGGGGGGAATCTGGTGAAGAACAGCAAGGCCAAAGTTACTCAGGCACATTGGGCCTCTTGTTTTAAAATCTTCTCAAGTACAACAATCATTTGTTATATTATATTTACCCCCCCCCCCCCCCAATCTTTTCAATACTGAACTTATTTGTGTTTTTGCCGAGCCAATGAGCTCAGGTGAGTGATGTGGACCATGGACCTCTTGTTGACTTTAATTTCATGAAGTCTGTTACAATTTTAGAACAGAAACAGATTGCAGTCATAACAAAACCTCATTCAACAGCTACTCGACTAATGAACATGATTCTGGAAGAGGAACTGTTGCTCCTGGACTGTGTGGATTGGCAAATTTAGGAAATACATGTTTCATGAACTCTGCAATACAGGTATTCCTAAAATTTAAGATAAAATAACAAGTCTCAATAAGGCATTACCTGTGGTCCCCGGTTACATGTCAATTTTGTAAGCTTCATTAAAAAATTAAAGCTTGTAGTATTTGCTCCAATTTTCATGCCCCCCTCCTTCAAAGAAGGGAGGGCATATCGCTTTGCTGCTGTCTGTCGGTCTGTTGGTCCACTTAGTTTCTGTTCATTTTCTTCACAACCCTTGCACATACTGAAATGAAATTTGGTATACAGATATATCAGATAAATATCTAAGTCAATTTTTAGCTCTACTGGTCAGAGACCAGAAGAGCTTATGCGATAGTAAGGTGTCCGTCGTCCATCCTTCTGTCTGTCCGTCTGTCTGTAAACAATTTTTCAAAAGGCTACTTCTCCTACAGTTTTGGTCTGATTTTAATATAACTTGGCACACAAGTAGACTACATTAAGATACATAAAATAGTGCATCGGTTTTTGATTTCGATGAACGGTGTTGCCATGGTTACTAAAAATAGAATTTTCTGTGAAATTCCTTTAAAACGCTACTCCTTCTACAATTTTGATCTGATTTCAATATAACTTGGTACACAAGTAGACTACACTAAGATACATTAAATAGTGCAACGGTTTTTGATTTCGATGAAAGGTGTAGCCATGGTTACTAAAAATAGAATTTTCTGTGAAATTCCTTTAAAACGGCTACTCCTTCTACAATTTTGGTCTGATTTCAGTGTAACTTGGCACACAAGTAGACTACACTAAGATATATTAAATAGTGCATCGGTTTTTGATTTCGATGAACGGTGTAGCCATGGTTACTAAAAATAGAATTTTCTGTGAAATTCCTTTAAAATGCTACTCCTTCTACAGTTTTGGTCTGATTTCAATATTACTTGGCACACAAGTAGACTACACTAAGATATATTAAATAGTGCATCGGTTTTTGATTTCGATGAACGGTGTAGCCATGGTTACTAAAAATAGAATTTTCTGTGAAATTCCTTTAAAATGGATACTCCTTCTACAATTTTGGTCTGATTTCAGTATAACTTGGCACACAAGTAGACTACACTAAGAAACATAAAATAGTGCATCGGTTTTTGATTTCGATGAAAGGTGTTGCCATGGTTACTAAAAATAGAGTTTTCTGTGAAATTCCTTCAAAATGCTACTCCCTCTATAGTTTTGGTCTGATTTCAATATTACTTGGCACACAAGTAGACTACATTAAGATACATAAAATAGTGCATCAGTTTTTGATTTTGATGAACGGTGTTGCCATGGTTACTAAAAATAGAATTTTCTGTGAATTCCTTTAAAACGCTACTCCTTCTACAGTTTTGGTCTGATTTCAGTATAAATTGGTACACAAGTAGACTACACTAATATACATAATTCTGTGCATCGGTTTTTGATTTCTATGAACGGTGTTGCCATGGTTACTAAAAATAGAATTTTCTGTGAAATTCCTTTAAAATGCTACTCCTTCTACAATTTTGATCTGATTTCAGTATAACTTGGCACACAAGTAGACTACACTAAAATACATAAAATGGTGCATTGGTTTTTGATTTCGATGAACGATGTTGCCATGGTTACTAAAAATAGAATTTTCTGTGAAATTCCTTTAAAACGCTACTCCTTCTACAATTTTGATCTGATTTCAGTATAACTTGGTACACAAGTAGACTACACTAAAATACATAAAATGTTGCATCGGTTTTTGATTTCGGTGAAAGGTGTTGCCATGGTTACTAAAAATAGAATTTTCTGTGAAATTCCTTTAAAATGCTACTCCTTCTACAGTTTTGGACTGATTTCAGTATTACTTGGTACACAAGTAGACTACACTAAGATACATAAAATAGTGTAACGGTTTTTGATTTCGATGAAAGGTGTAGCCATGGTTACTAAAAATAGAATATTCTGTGAAATTCCTTAAAAACGCTACTCCTTCTACAATTTTGGTCTGATTTCAGTATAACTTTGCACACAAGTAGACTACACTAAGATACATAGAATAGTGCATCGTTTTTTGATTTCGATGAACGGTGTTGCCATGGTTACTTAAAATAGAATTTTCCGAAAAATTCCTTTAAAACGCTACTCCTTCTACAATTTTGATCTGATTTCAGTATAACTTGGTACACAAGTAGACTACACTAAGATACATAAAATAGTGCATCAGTTTTTTATTTCGATGAACGATGTTGCCATGGTTACTAAAAATAGAGTTTTCTTTGAAATTCCTTTAAAATGCTACTCCTTCTACAGTTTTGGTCTGATTTCAATATTACTTGGCACACAAGTAGACTACACTAAGATACATTAAATAGTGCATTGGTTTTTGATTTCGATGAACGGTGTAGCCATGGTTACTAAAAATAGAATTTTCTGTGAAATTCCTTTAAAATGGCTACTCCTTCTACAATTTTGGTCTGATTTCAGTATAACTTGGCACACAAGTAGACTACACTAAGATACATAAAATAGTGCATCGGTTTTTGATTTCGATGAAAGGTGTAGCCATGGTTACTAAAAATAGAATTTTCTGTGAAATTCCTTTAAAACGCTACTCCTTCTACAATTTTGATCTGATTTCAGTATAACTTGGTACACAAGTAGACTACACTAAGATACATAAAATAGTGCAACGGTTTTTGATTTCGATGAAAGGTGTAGCCATGGTTACTAAAAGTAGAATTTTCTGTGAAATTCCTTTAAAACGGCTACCCCTTCTACAATTTTGGTCTGATTTCAGTATAACTTGGCACACAAGTAGACTACACTAAAATACATAAAATGGTGCATCGGTTTTTGATTTCGATGAACGGTGTAGCCATGGTTACTAAAAATAAAATTTTCTGTGAAATTCCTTTAAAATGGCTACTCCTTCTACAATTTTGGTCTGATTTCAGTATAACTTGGCACACAAGTAGACTACACTAAAATACATAAAATGGTGCATCGGTTTTTGATTTCGATGAAAGGTGTTGCCATGGTTACTAAAAATAGGATTTTCTGTGAAATTCCTTTAAAACGCTACTCCTTCTATAATTTTGGTTTGATTTCAATATAACTTGGCACACAAAAAGACTACACTAAGATACATTAAATAGTGCATTGGATTTTGATTTCGTTGAACGGTGTTGCCATGGTTACTAAAAATAGAATTTTCTGTGAAATTCTTTTAAAACGCTACTCCTTCTACAATTTTGGTCTGATTTCAATATAACTTGGCACACAAGTAGACTACACTAAGATACATAGAATTGTGCATCGGTTTTTGATTTTGATGAACAGTGTTGCCATTGTTACTAAAAATAGAAATGTCTGTGAAATTCCTTTAAAACACTACTCCATGTACAGTTTTTGTCTGATGGCAATGGCTTCTTTTCTCATCCTTTGTTATAAGTACAAACCAGTAGAGCCACAGTCTCGACAGAGACTTCTGGTTATTTTGGGTTTGATCGCACCATTTTTAGCTCTACTGGTCAAAGGCCAGAAGAGCTTATGTGATAGTAATGCGGCCGTCGTCCGTCCGTCCATCTGTCGACTGCCCCTCTGTCTGTCTGTTAACAATTTTTTAAAAATGCTACTTCTCCTACAGTTTTGGTCCGATTGCAATATAATTTGGCACACAAGTAGACTACACTAAGATACATAATTCTGTGCATCAGTTTTTGATTTAGATGAAAGGTGTTGCCATGGTTACTAAATATAGAAATTTCTGTGAAATTCTTTCAAAATGCTACTCCTCCTACAGTTTTGGTCCGATTCAATATATCTTGGTACACAAGTAGACTACACTAAGATACATAATTCTGTGCATCGGTTTTTGATTTCGATGAATGGTGCTGCCATGGTTACTCAAAATAGAAATTTCTGTGAAATTCTTCCGAAATGCTACTCCTCCTACAGTTTTGGTCTGATTTCAACATAACTTGGCACACAAATAGACTATACTAAGATACATAATTCTGTGCATCGGTTTTTATTTTGATGAGTGGCAAGAATCATTTTTAGCTCTACTGGTCAGAGACCAGAAGAGCTTATGCGATAGTAATGCGTCCGGCGTCCGTCCGTTTGTCTGTCTGTCTGTAAACAATTTTTCAAAACGCTACTCCTCCTACAATTTTGGTCTGATTTCAATATAACTTGGCACACAAGTAGACTACACTAAGATACATAAAATAGTGCATCGGTTTTTGATTTCGATGAACGGTGTTGCCGTGGTTACTAAAAATAGAATTTTCCGAGAAATTCCTTTAAAACGCTACTCCTTCTACAGTTTTGGTCTGATTTCAATATAACTTGGCACACAAGTAGACTACACTAAGATACATAAAATAGTGCATCGGTTTTTGATTTTGTTGAATGGTGATGCCATGGTTACTAAAAATAGAATTTTCTGAGAAATTCCTTTAAAATGCTACTCCTTCTACAGTTTTGGTTTGAATTTAATATTACTTGGCACACAAGTAGACTACACTAAGATACATAAAATAGTGCATCGGTTTTTGATTTAGATGAGCGGTGTTGCCATGGTTACTAAAAATAGAATTTTCTGAGAAATTCTTTTGAAACGCTACTCCTTCTAAAGTTTTTGTCTGATTTCAATATTACTTGGCACACAAGTAGACTACACTAAGATACATAAAATAGTGCATCAGTTTTTGATTTCGATGAGCGATGTTGCCATGGTTACTAAAAATAGAATTTTCTGTGAAATTCCTTTAAAACGCTACTCCTTCTACAGTTTTAGTCTCATTTCAGTATCACTTGGCACACAAGTAGACTACACTAAGATGCATAAAATAGTGCATCGGTTTTTGATTTCGATGAATCGTGTTGCCATGGTTACTAAAAATAGAATTTTCTGAGAAATTCCTTTAAAATGGCTACTCCTTCTACAATTTTGGTCTGATTTCAGTATAACTTGGCACACAAGTAGACTACACTAAAATACATAAAATGGTGCATCGGTTTTTAATTTCGATGAA